CGAATCGTCGCTATCGGGCGATGTGTATTGGTGCGGCCACCCGCGAGATGGCGCGCACTAAAGGGGAGCGAGCCTTGCCTTCGGGTTATTCGCTCGTCTCTCGTTCAACTTGGGACCGTCGCTTCGCCAATACTCCGCTACCTGCAGGCGCCTTCTTCTGGTGCAAAGCTCGCGATGGATTCTGGTGGTTGGGGCAAGATTACTGGACCGCCTCTACCGTCCGACTTCTACGTCGTCCGCTTCTTGGACGATCCTGGCCCTGTCAAGCTCGCCCTTCCTGATGTTCGCTACTCCACCGCTGAAACCGCCGTCTCCGGATCCTGGTGCCTCCAAGTTCACAGCGGCCGTGCCCTTTTTAAGGGGATCCTTCGCAACGTTGACATGTCGCGTGGTGACCCCGGGACTGATTCGTTGCCTGATAACGTGGCGCGCCCCCATTAAGACGACGTGCTAGTTGTCTTGGCTTTCTGTTGTTTTCAGCGTTGTTTGGGTTGCTTTTTAGCCTTGGTTGGTTTTCGCTTTCTCCTCGCTTTATTTTGTGCCTTTAGCGTTTGGTCACGACCTGTAGGTGTTTCGCGCCCATTGTTGCCCCTTCTACACTGCCGTGGCGACTGCGTGAATGGCGTATCTGATCGTTTTCTTACGATACCGGTCTTGTTGTGGTTCCTACAGTGATCCTTTCTTTTTGTCGTTATGACGACCTCTGTTTTTCTTTTCTGTTTTTCTTCCTTTTTTTTGTGTTTTCCTTTCTTTGGTTCCGATCTTCTTCCGGTCGTCGTAGGCGTTTCTTAGCCCCGTCAGTTCCTTCCTGTCTGTGTCATTTTGTCGTTTTAGAAGTTTCAAACGATGGTCTTGCGACTCATCGAGTGAGAGGTGTGGGAGGGTGAATTGTGCTGTTTTGGAGCTCCACATCCTCGATGCTTTCATTTAGAGACTCGACAATTGCTTGTCAAGACTCCGAGGTTTTACAGTATCTGCGTATGAGAACCTCCAGGGTGGGCTAGTGTTATAGGATTCAGATGTGTAGACGGAACATAGAAGAGCTTGGTTCCTTTTAGATGGCACGGAGAGATGTAACTCTCCGCGGAAGGATAAAAAGCAGGGGACAGGATCTAGTAGCCCCTGCTTGTGCAGAGGATCCTGTGCCCCTTGGTGTCATTCCTACCGATACCCAAGGCAACAGCTACTGCTGCTGCTGTTCTACAAGAGTAACAACAAGTGAGTTCTTCTTCACGGGTCAACCAGACTTCATCACGCGTGCATACCACTACATTTTTTGACCGGGTCAGGCAAGGGGTGGGGCACGCGAATGAAACTTCCACGGACATTGAACGATGCCCTGTTAAGAACTTAACTCCGTCCGGTATGGATGATGGCGAAGATGATGTGGCTAGTGTAGCGACATTTTCCACCTAAATCGATTCCATCGCATGGTTGGAGTCTATCTACTGTAGGGGAAGATACCCGAGAATGTCCTCGTGAAACTTGAAATTGTCTCGAGCGATGCATAGCGGCGAGAGCGCAGAGTCGTGCGGGGAAAAAGGTGGTTTGAATGCCTCGTGACGGCTTCCCACGTCGTAAACACGTGGCGCTGAATGATTTCAACACAGACGGCCGCGGTCAAGCCCCTGTATTGCTTTCCCGTGGTGATTCTGTACAGTCCCATCGCCTGTTTGTCATGGGCCGCGCCGTAACCTGAACCGCCAGAAGAAGTTCGACGTGGCGCCCCATAAGTAATCCACCCCACCCCGCCAAAACATCAAAAAAAAGAAAAAAAAACACGACACGATGCTTTACATGTCGTCTTATCCCATGGCGACCTGTCCCGGCTATGTCCGAGTGCCCGCGAGATCTGGTAGCCCGGGCTGCACGATAGCGTAGCTCTGTCGTTTTCCTTCCGTATCGTGTTCATCGTTATGTTTCTCCGTGTAGTGAGATATCCCAGGCACCGTACGAATCATTTTGCGGGGACGTCCAAGATACCAAGGGAAGCAAGCACCGCCGTGAAACCACCATACAGCTCGGGGCCCATGTCGATCAAGAAGGGCAAGACAACCGACACTTAGCGCTCCATAGTGCACCACAGTTGACCGTCGCCAATCGGTACCGCAGGTCGCCGCCAAGAGACACTGGGATCTCTCCGAGGTAGCGCTCGCCGGTTGTGCTTCTTGGTGGAGGAACTCTCTAAAGTCTCCGAATTAGGGTTTTTCTAGGCGGGCGGCGCGGCACGAAGGCCAACGGCTGAGCTGTGCCGTCCCGTTTCGCGGTCAAATGGCGTGGAGGGTGTGTATCGTACCAGTTATGTACGGGTAATATACAATGTATGCGTATTGTACAACATCAGACGGCTCAACGGGTTTTACTGTTGTCTCCCGAAGCAGATATCGCACGACTTCGAATTGTGTGTTTTCTGAATGGTAGTGCGTACCATTGGGAGGCCCAATCGCCCGATACTGTGCAACAGTTTCGTCCCGTCTGGTAGTATTCGGAGGGAAATTTTGTGTTTTAGTAGCAGAGACACGTCAGGATACCGCGGAGGCTTGGTGCCGTGCGGAACGTGTGGTACGAGGGAGGTCTCCCTCGGTAGGTCGCAGAAAATATTAATCAAGGCAATTAGGAAGAAAACAAGAAAATTAAAGTTTGTTGTCGAAGACCGAATAAACTGTAGTCTTTTGTGCACGGAAAAATTCGGAACATCTCCCATTAAAAGAAATAGTTAGGTTCTTTGTTGTGCCCCCCTGGAGGCGGTTGGTTCGGATGTTTTTATTCGGTTAACTGGGGTCCCAAAAAGAGAAAGGTCTCACGGAGTTCTCATTCTGCTGCCTCGCTACTCCTGGAGCGAGAGGTGGATGGATGCGTGTCCACTGGACCCAAGGGCCACGTGCTGACAAATGCACAATGTGTAACACGCACCCGGCGTCGGGGCACGCGGCAAGGGAGGGTTGTAGCTAGCTACATCGAAGTTGGGACTTAGGGTATTATTAACGACCAATGAAACACGAAACTTTTCACGGAAGCGTGCTTTCTTGCAAATATATGGAGGCGTTTTTCCCCCGATCCGCGAAAGTAACGAGCAGATTTTTTTTGGGGCTTGCTGCTTTCACGGATCCGGGGAATTGGACACAAAAAGGGTCGGGCAGGGTCAGGCAGCGCACCGCGGGCGCTGTAACATAACTTGAAAACGCTCGCAAGACCTGCTAGACTCACGTCCAGGTCTGTTGTGGAAACGGACAAGCACCAGAAGCCGCGTTCAATCCGTTCTTGGTCCTAAACGAGACATTGCGTGGTGCTCCCGTCTTCAACTGCTGCTGCTGTTGGTGCTGGAGATTTTTTTTCACTCACACACAGCAAACACGGAAACAGTAGAACGAGTACAGCAGCAGCACCAAGACCTCCAACGCGCTGATTCCTTTGGTTCGGCTGTCTATGTGATACTCACTCCCGGCGCCGTGCTGCTTCGTGGGTATTGGAAGCTTGGATGCTGCTCAATAAGGTGTGTTAGAGACGTGTGACACCTCACCAAAATGCCGTTGGAAAAAGTGCGGCGAGACGATCTGTATTTGGTTGGACACATCAACATCAATCCACGGCACCACGCAGCAGTAGAGCAACAGGGCCTCCGACACGCTAATTCTTTCAGATTGGCCATCTATATGATGCTCGTCTACCTTTGGGCAGGTGGTGGTCAAAGAAGGGAGTCGCAACCATAAAAAAATGAGCCGGCAAACTGAAGACATCGGAAGCAACACCCAGGTTGCGACACTCTGCCCTGCGCTGGTGTTGCTGAAAACCGAATACAGCAGGGCGGGTGGACGGGATCTTGCTAAGTGTGCTGTCCTTTGTGTCGGGTGCTGCTCATTGCGCTTTTACCGCTGCTCTATGGTGAGCAAAACCAAGTCATCCTGTTGTGTGCCGAGCAAAGCGTGTATGTATTCAGAGAAGGACACGTACTTTTCGCGATGACATCACGAATAGAACAAGCGAAAAATAATCGATTCTTCCTTTCACCGTTCCGTGAAAAAATGTGTGAATTTTCCGTTGCGTTAACAATAGGTCTTACCTAGCAAATATTCGTAGCCTTTCTCCCGCCCGCCCTCCCCTTTTCTTTCGAAGGTAGACTCACCCCTTTTCGTTCGAAGGTGGGGGTTCGGAAATGTTACGAGTGAGGACTCACTTAGGAGAGGCTTCTAAGTATTTGTGTGCCTCGGAGTTAGTGCAACCTTTGCCACGTAGAAGTATAGCGTAGCGCGGGATGTTTTCTAAATGGCAGTGCGTACCATTGGGTGGCTCAATCGTCCGAGACTGCTACCGTACGTACAACAGTTTCGTCCCGTCTGGTAGCATTCGGAGGGATATTTTGTGTTTTAGTAGCAGAGACACGTCAGGATACCGCAGAGGCTTTGTGCCGTGCGGAACGCGTGAAACGGGGGGAGTCTCCCTCCGTAGGTCACAGAAAAATATATTTATCAAAGCAACTTGAAAGAAAACAATATAGGATCATTGGATGGACTTGTTTCCTGTTCTTGACATCGACCTATATGCGGAACACACGATGCAGTTCCATTTCACATCGTCTGCACATTTCTTATCAAAACAATGAGGAATACAGGCACCATAGACTACAGGGAGCAAGTCATGTAGTCAAAATGAACACATGGCACTGGATTCATCGCCATCCACGGTAATTCTTGTGTAACTGTTGATATCCCGGTTCGCCCAACAAAAAGCCGATCAATGCAACCTACAATCAAGCTACAACACGGTTGACCGCGTGTCCAGCAGAGCAAAACGTATATAGAATTCCAACTTCAAGACTGTCCCCGTCTCCCCCTTCTCCATTGTCTGATCAGGGCTCACCGCCACGACGTGCGATGCCAAGGCTTCCGGGTGGCGAAGACGACACGTGGTAAACTGACGCAAAGAAGCTAGTACACCTCTCGGGAAAATTGAGTCTACCCCCCGTCGGCCCTCGGCCCCTGGCACACACCCACTCCGCTCTTCTACAGTAGACCGTACCCGCGTGCCTGTTCGTGGAAGACGTCCACGGCGTGCTCATATAGCAATAGGTCGAGCCGCATGTACTTCTTTAACTCGGAGTCCGTCCAGGCTTGCTTTAAAGTCTCTGATTCCAGCCGCTTGTTTTTGTAGTCCACCCTCTGCTTCCCGCCCTCGGCGAATTGCGCCCCCCAGTACATCCCCGGTATCTCCAGCGCGTGGTCGAAGAGATGGAGGGTGGTGTTCCATTGCTCTAGGATGCCGACCGCCACGTATCCGGAACGAATCAAGTCCTGACGGTTTCGAGTGCATGTGCGTGTCGAGAGGAAAACAATACAAGAAACGAAACAGAAATAATGAAATAAATTTCACAGCGGGCGATCGGTAAACATGAAGAAACAACAAAACAACAAAACACAAAAACGTCAACGCGAGTGATCGGTCAACACTTCGGAGAAATCAGACATACACATTCCGGCTTCATGACAAGGTGCTACAATTTTCTGCTTGCACGTGTCACGCGACAACATGCTTGTACAGAACACAACTCTCAAGCTGAGCAAAAATATGGCAAACCAATTCTAGGAAAAGGGGTACTACGCTGAAACTAATCCATGTTTCTTCTTGGCGGCGAATTTACTTGCTTCGGGGGTATGCATGTAGATCAAACGCACCATCGCGGGCTGCAGCAGGTCGTACAGCGGGGCCTCTAGAGTAGCAGCAGCGTCGTGTTCGACCGTCATTGCCTCGCTCTGCCCGGGCACACCCCAATCCCCCTTCTCAGGCCTCTCCAGGTACATTTTCAGCTGATACCTGAGGTATGGTAGTTGGGAGGGGGGGGGGGGGAGTCGCATATTTGCCGGGACATCCTGGGGACATTAATTATCACGTCTTGGGGATGAGCTTGCAGCGGTGGCGCGATTCGGGCAGGACCGCTTTGGAGAGCTTCCCGCTGGTGCTCGTTCAGAAGCAAGACAACCTGCTGTATATCCGAGAGGTGGAACGCTGCTGAGTGCTGTAACACAGCTTGGTGATCCTCAGAACGGTGAGGTCCAAGATGTTGTTCATGTTGTTACTGGCTGACGCCAAGGCCAGGTTTTGATGGTAGAAGATGAGAGTGAGAGAGAGGGTCGCGCGGGTCATATCTCGATCGCTAGAAACAACAAAAATATCTACTGCTGGGGACCCCGAACAGTCAACCGGCTTCTTGGGGTTCCCCCGAAGCTATCTGACAGTCCCGTACGGGAACGTGTTTGCACAACATGTGGTATCTGCTCTACTATTCCGACCAATCCTTGGCTTCGTCTCCTCAGTCAACCCCTGCGCCCCTCCCCTTCTTTTGCTACTGCTACTGCTACTGCTACGTAGCGCTTACCAGCCCGCAATCTTCTTCAGGTCAAAGTCGTGCAGAGCCTGCGCCTCCGGTGTCCGAATATACCTCCCAGCCACATCACCACAACAACGGGGGAGTAACGGTTACAAAAAGCGTTCGATACGAGCAGTTATCGGAACGCGCGGGGGGGGGAGGCACTTCATATGAACAGTTATCAACCAAGACAATAACCACCCCCGCTTCGTTCAACAAAAACACGAGCAAAATGATGAAATGAAGGAACCAACAGGAGTATCGAAAACTCACTCCTGAACGCCATCGGAGGGCACGAAGCCTAGCGCGAACTGCCGGACCGCGAAGTTTCCCCAGTGCTTGGCGAAGGTCAGCAAGTCCACGTCCTTCGCGTCCACTACCTCAGAGGCGCAGGCCGCGTCGCCCAAGGTGGAACGGCAGTAGAAATAGGCCGAGACCATACGCGCGATCGGGCTGGAGATATAACATAAAATTGATGACGGGATGACAATAGGAACAGAGGCGTCAGCAGACACTCTATCAAGCAGACACCATTGAGCGTTGAGCGTTCGAGGAAGAGATGCGGGCCTCGGAGGTAAGCAACACTAAGGCGTTAACCCAATCAAACCTTCCCTTATCGTCGGCGCAATGCCTGACGTATCTGATGCGATTCGGAAGCAGGCACGAGAGCCCGATGCGGATATTTCAGTCTATTCTGCTCCCGGCAAAAAATCGAACCGATTTATGGGCGACCAATACAACTGCAGAGAGGCAGGCACGTCCCGTTGGATGCTTCGAAGACGAGGTGGGGATCGTTTTCGTTGATAGATCGTCTTCTGGACACAGACAGCTCTTATGAGGTTTCTTCATACAAAAGCGGGGCCGCATTTTGTCCATGACAAGAGGGGGGGGAGACGAATCCCGTTCATGTCCGTTTCGAGGCAAGGTTCACTCACTGCCGGAATAGCGTGAAAAACCGGCAGCCAGCGTCGACGGGTTCCGATCTTCTGAGAGCCTCCGTGTACCCGCCGGCCATGACGTTCCACGTCTCCCCACGGGCCAGTTTTACCCCAAAGTTCGCCGAGATGTCGTCGCCGAGCTTCCACTGGTTCGAGTCGTAGATGGAATAGCGAGACCCATAGCTGCGTCGCAGCATGTACTTCACCGTGCTCCCGCCGCACTTCTGCAGGTGCATGAAAACCCAGCACTGGTCTGGCGACGCCAACGCCCGGACCGGTACCGCCACAGAGGAAGAAGCACGACTGGTACGAGCCCCGGGAAGCGCAACGTCGCCGTCGGGAGTTACGTGGATCCCGTCCACGGGCGACGTAATCTCCTGTGATTTCCTTTCCCTCGACCTCAACAAAGCCTCTTCCTCCGCATCCGCCGAGGTAGTAGCCCATACTTCCAGGACGCCAGGCGCGGCAGCATTAGTCCTATCGCCCTCTGCCGCCTCCGCTTGTTGTGGTCGGGGGGCAGCGCTGTATCGGTCCTCTGCGGAAAACCAGTCCTCCGCGGAATACCGGCCCTCTGCGGACGAATCGTCATCCGGTTTCGGCGGTGCGACCATGCCCGGGTGCACCGCGCCACTGGGCAGGTACGCGAGGAAGTGCACGCATCCGAGCACACAGAAGGCGACTTTAGACCACGGTGTTATGGACGAGGCCTTCATCGACGACGGGGGTTGTGGCGGTGATCGCCGCCGCGCCTCTGAGAGAGGGCGTTGTTGGTAGCTCCCTTCCCCAACCCGTAGGCCACGTACGGCTGTTGCTGCTCTTGTTGGTGTCGCAAAAGGAAGCGCAGGCGGTAGCACGCACACGCAGGGGGGGGGCGGTCATGTTGTCGTAAACTGGGTGCTCACCCCGCTAGATCTTTGCTGTTGGGATGCGCCTTATTTAATTGAGACGGATGTCCTTGAAGCGGACAATGTGGAGGGGCGAGGATGAAGCTGAATTCCTGTTCAAAGGACCAATAGTACCGCAATAATGCGAGACGACGCACGGGGGTGCGACAACAGATACGCTCGATACTCAGTAAACTGTAAACCTTAAAGCAGTAGCACCCCCCCGTGCTTATGCTCTGATACATGCGACACCCAACATGTCACGGCCGTACCGCACTGTTTCGCGATGTCGCCGCATGTATTATACACAAACTTGCACGCGATGGAATTGCGAGGTACCTCCGGCGCAGTGACTATCCCGAGCCCACTCGGGGCACCCGGTATCGGTTATATCGCACACCTGTCCGAGATCACCGAATTGTGTCGAACTGCTTCTTTGTTTTGTCGCATGGGGTGCTATATCACTGGGCCGTGAAATCTCTCGAATAGTCCTCACGGTACGCGTGCGAGTTAGCCTGTATCCAAGCAAATTCGTTGCGAGGTGATCCACAGAGGGACACTGGATAAACGATGAGATCGCAACACAAACGTACCGCGGCAGTGCGAGAGACCATCGGTTCGAGGCGATTCTATGAGGAGGTATAGGGTCGGAACTTTCGAATCTTGAATTTAGATTTAGACTCTGATTGGGTAAAAACCTCTTCCGCCGGTTGTATGACTAAAGACAGCTTCATCCAAAGGAAAACAGCCCTCTTGAGCGAGCACATGGTCGTTAATCCGGTCGACCCACATGGCGACATATTGACTCCTTGTCAATAGCTACCATCGGTTCAAATTTGGCGCAGACCCCGCAGTTTTCCACACACCAAGACAACAACACCGCGGGGCACGTACACGCACGCAACATGCCGCGTGCCGATGGAGAGTTGTGCAAACAGCGGGGCTGCAGAACTGCGGGCACACCAGGGGCATGATTGCCATGGCATCCTGCGGTGGACGCCAGCACCGCATGTGTGGGGACGTGGGGGTTCTCGTGCATACTTGGAGGAGACAAACCCTTCCGACGATGAGACAGGGCTAGATGGGGCGGGAGAAGCCGGCAGAGCAGGGGGTGGGGAAGTGATGGGGCCGCTGCTCTACTCGGTCCTTTGGACACAAATGAATTTGGTTAGGCAGCTTGACATCTTCGAATGGTACACGCCGCGAACAAGCGCGACATACGGACATTCAAGTTAGTTTAGTTAAGTATATCGGTGCACCGTACGGTAAAATAATGAAGTCACTATTTATCAGCACGAGGTTCTTAGCCGCTTGGGCGATCACGAAACCTTTCCGTCCCGTGTAGGGGCGTTTTTTTGGTTTTGTGGGGGAAGTGGCCATGAATTTTTTCCTTTTCCCGGCTTTGTTTTATTATAATTCGCAGATCGGACTTGCACGTGTTAAAATTTGTGCTGGCGGGAAAATAAAAAGACACAGGGCACCCTCTGTACATTGATCGCCCTGTGTTTAGCAGGCGGGAAAATAAAATGACACAGAGCACCCTCTGCACACTGTTATTGAGACACTTCCTAAAAAACTTGGGGGGAGTATAATAAGAAGCTACTCCCCGGTTGTCCACCCCTAAGAAGGTGCTTCTTTCCCGTACCTTCGTATGACTGATGATCCATTATATGACGCATACCTGAAGCTAAGGCGCCTTTTTCCAGTGTAGCGACCGTTAGTCGCAACTGAGGCCTCATAGCAGGGAATATCACTGGTCGCTAACCGGGTTAAGCGACACGTCCCGAAGAGCGACCACATTCCGTCTTTACACTACTAGAGATCGCTAAACCGGGGGCCCCGCTGCCCCGCTGAAAATGATTGTATCAATTCCGGACTTAGGTGAACTCGAACTCTAGTTGGCGATTAGCGGTCTACTCGCACGCACGACGCGTGCCCATATATCCCTACACCTCTACCCACACAAACCCAAAAGGCCGTGTACTAGATCGGGAGGTGGAATAGATATTTTTGTATTTTTGAAAATAAAAGTACCGGCGTAGGGTCGTGCGTTGTTACTTTTGTTACCTCATCTTGTTTACCACACAACAGCAGTGACGACGTTGAGTTGTGGGGGCCCCAGTGTGGTTTGCAGAGAGGGGAGGCTGGTATTCACCGTCAGCCAGAAAGGGGTGGTATTGGCCGTCAGAGGGGGGTGGCATTTACCGTCAGAGGGGAAGAGGGGGTGGGTTGGGGGGTGTACTCACAGTCGTGCATGCCGTAGTCGTTAGACCACTGACCTCGCATCCCTACAAAGCCGGGACCGAGCACGCCGGGTTCGCACCGGAACAGGATCTCACATCACCAACCGCGAAGCCCCGTGAGGTATTCGGCGAGTCGCATGAAGGGTGCGCTGCATCCTGCTAAGGGTGTTCGGCATCTTGTGCTTGCTACCTTGCATACGAATGACAGCTGCGTATGCTTAATTTATTTTCTGGTGCTAGACAGTTGTAAGCACTGTGTAACTGCCCGAGGATGCTCGACATTTTAACACAACGTGGTGCGATCATCCCCCTTTGCGCGGAGGGAGGGTTCTCGACCCCGCACAACATGATCTACTCGACCACCATTCATGGTTACCGGAAAAAAAAAAAAGATGTAAAAAAAACGGTAACCTGGTTGCCGAGTTCACAAAGTGACTTGGCTTGTTTTCCAACGTCGTTGCCAAGCGACAAAAACCCAATCCCGATGGCAAACACCGAGGGGGGGGCTGGGAGTGTTATTCACCATCAGCAAAAATTCCGCCCTCTGTTCCTATCTTTTGTTCGAGCTTTCATGGGGCATTTAAAAGCGTGTTACCCCCCTGTCTCTGAACAGATTATTTTTGCCAAGCAAAAAGCACCCCTACCGGACCGCTCAGCAAATTTTGTTCATTTCAGAATATTCAATTTCGGCTCAAAAACATTTGAAATTTGCACTCAATATATTCATTTCAAAATCGCTGCAAGGCAACTTTAATCTCACTGCATGTGATGGCGAGTGGGCATGCCCCTTCAACCACGCCACGCGTGACACCATGAAGGTTTGCTTTGTCGTCAATTCCGCGATCAACTCGTGGTCCCATCTTCCCTACGAACGTTTTATGTTTTTTAGTTCCTACATTCTGTGCAGTGTAATAAGTTCCCCTGCACATGTTTGTTTCTCAGGATCTTGCCACTATGATTCCATAACCACGGGTCACAGTGCACGTCGCGACCACTTTTTCTTTTGTCTCGTACAAGTCGTCAGCCATGCAGACTACAAAGCAATAATGTTTTGTGAATAAACTCGGTACTTTCCATCACTCCACTATATAAAATCCTTGTCGATCCTGCGATTTGATTTTATTTGTCTCACAAAGCACTACCGGTGTTTCGTCACATCGGTACATGTCCCGTTCTCGGCTCGTCTGTTCCCTCCTGCATTTTTGTTCATATATCAATGTTTCGACATTTGATTGTGCTTGAGTGAAGTCAATATCATGTGAGTTAAACGTTCAGCGAACCAGAATTCCTCGCTGTCGAGTTTTCGTGGAGTACGAGCTCTTAAAACCGCCAAAGCTGGGGGGTGATGTGTGTCCCTGGTGTAGCTGTACATTCGTTCTACTCGAGGTCCCCCGCCCACCTGTTTCTCCGCTTGCCCTGCGGATCTTTCTGTGCGGTCCGCGCGCACCCGTATGTCACTGTACGCACATGCCCGCGTACCGCATTATACATGCCCGGGGAAGTTCCCCTGTAGCGTGTCAGTGCTGTACCACGTCAGCAATCCAGCACAGACTGTGTCTGTGCACACCCCTCTTCACCCCTCCTCTGTCACTCTTCTTCTTCCCCTCTCTTCCCAGAGACCACCGTTGGCTCTTCCTAGAGGTCAGAACTGCGACTAGCGGCTCCCCAACCGTCGCTCCGGAAGTCTCCTCTGGTCACACAGTCGAGAGAAGGTTCAACCCCTTCCGTCGGCCTGAGATCGGTCACCCTTAGGTTTCTACCCTATTTTTGTTTTGTTTCCCCGCGGCGTCGTATGTGCCGGGTTCTTTGCGACCACGGGCTCCCCGTTTTTGTGGACAATAGAGCGAAGGTGAGAAACAACAACAACAACAAGATAGGTGCGGCAGGCGCTACTGTAGTCTCAACATTCTCAAATTTGCCGAACTTCCCGGACACGGAGTGAGCAGTCTTTCCATAATGATATTGCAACCACGCAAGTTGCGTGCCATCTATGGCAAGCAAGACAGACAGCAGAGGCGCAGTATGCAAAACCTGAACCGATAGCGGGCAACCGCGTCCTCTATGGTCCGTCCCGGACTTTCTTTCGAATTTGGTTTATGGTCATAAGTTTCGAAATATTTCGAACTTGAGGGAATTATAGCCACGCTAATGATGCCTATATCAAGGTTTCAACTAATAAAAAAAAATGAACCACACTAATTTCAAGACTGGAGCATCCCATCAAATTTAGTTTTTTTGAAAAATTCGAAACAAGCGGTACCTACCTGCGGAATTTCGAGAGGAATCGTTTCATGCACACTTTTTTGAAATCGTAAAGAAAGTTGGTTCTCGCAGAAGAAGTTGAACGAATCGCCCTTCCAGAATCGTTTATGGGGCATAACTTTGTCGTTTCTTGATTTTTCCAAATTTTGGAAGACGCGGTACCTGGCAAATTCCAAGAGCCGTCCAAATCTGGTCTCAGATTTCCTCTCTGAAAAGTAGACCCTCCAACAGAAGTTGAACAAACATTTCTGGTTATTTCGAAATACAAAGTCAACGAATATCTAAATAAAATAAGTGGAACTTAAGATTTCTGCGCCTGGAGAC